GCCAGACCGAACTTCCCGACCTCAAACGTTGTGGGCGGGACTAAGTTCGGAATGGCATCCAGGCTATGTACATTGAGGGGTGGCCGAAAGCGGATAGGTGCCAGAACCTCAGGCTCAATCTGAACGAGCAAAACATCCATATTTTCTAAATAAAGACAACCTATAATTTCCTACAGCCTTTGCTAACTAATAGAGGAATATTTTTAAACACCCATACAAATAAAAGGTATAGTGGATAAAACTCTTGGGATCTGGTACAGCTCCAGATCCCAACACTTTCAGTTTTGAGTTCTGGGGCATAAACTTTTCCATTGTCATTACTTACCTACTTTTAACAATACAAATTCTGTATAAAATGTATATTTACAATCACTAATATATACATAAATTGATTATTTGATAAGTTTTTATTAAAATTGTTATTTATCTATGATTTCACTGAAGACTCTTAGATGACTTGCAGAGATACATAATTTTCTCTATACCCCATATAACACAAAATCTAGTTCTGAAAAGAGCATGAATTCTGCACTTATCATCTTTGATGTTAGTATATTGATGTGCATAATTAAACACAAAAAATATGAATGTTTTGAATATTCCACTTGAGTGTATTGCTGCTGCCAACATCTGTATTAAAGGGGAAAAAATTGTTGGGGTGGCCACAGGGGTGGCTGATGATTAGCTAAAGGTGGCCATGGCCACCCCTGGCCCCCCATCTAGCTCCGCCCCTGCTTTCAAAGTCATAATTAAGAGATACAAAGTCATAATTTCGACTTTCAAAGTCAAAATTTCAGTATCCAATATGGCGTTCACATAAGTAAAATGTGTTAAATGTTGTAATTTATAGATATTCAACAGCTGGTTGATAACCGAGAGAACCAACAAAATGATTTAATCCCACTGGGTTTTAGTTTTTGTCAAGACCGTGTTCAATTTATGTCTTCAAAATGTTGCAACATCCATAAAGCCAGTTCCAAAAACTTATGACTGTTACTTAGCATTAGCATGTTAATTATTTCTATTATAACTTATTATTATTATACATGATAATATTGTTGGTACAGTGTAAATCACTCAATGAGAATGTAGTTACTTTGAACTCCTATTTCTCCTACTCCTGATCCCTGTTCCCTAATTGTTTGTGGGGTAAACAGCGAGGACATGACAGGAATTCTGGACTGATGGGCTTAATCCACACAGCCTTTAGCCTTTTGAACATCATTGCATGACAGAAATACACATGGAGGATGTTTGTCAAATTGAAAATATGACCTTCCAAAGAAGAGTTAGAAAAAAGTTAGACAAATGTGAAGAAGAGCTGAAGCTTTCCAGTCTGAAACCCAAATACAATGGTGGTGTCTACATTAGCATATCACACACAGTATGCATAAATAAATAATGTATTTTGTTAAACTCTGTAGGGTGGGCTGGTGCTTTTACATCTTGTCATGCAAAGGATTGTGGGAATCCATATAGGTCCTAACGCCAGACAGAAACATTTGGAGATCCCTATGCTAAATGAACTATAGGAGGCATCCAGCTTCCTTTTCCTACCTCCTTTCTTGCTGCCAACACAAATCAGATGGTAGGTGTCATGGAAACAGCTTACACAAATTTGTTCAAAAGTCTTTACAGATTTGTTGTATTCAGATGGGGCTAGTGTCTGTCATAGTCTTGATTTAGTCCAGAAATAGCTGTTGAAAATTTGGTTGTGTTTGGTCAGTCTGACTTTGTCCCACCTTAGTCCAACAAGGTGTTGAAATCCCAGTTTTCAACATCATTTCAAAGACCTTTCACTTTTCAACCAAATATAGATGTTGCTTGGATGTAACCCATGTCGTCTTTACAATGTCTTTTCAACCAACATTTGCTTGGTGGGAGTGGTCCAGTTTGACCAATGTGACTATAGCCTAATAACAGCAACAGAGCAGGAGGCGAACCAGGAATTACATTACTACCAGTATTTGCACCCTTTTAATGCAAGAAAAGAATATACGATTTTAAATAAGCAGGAAGCAGAACAGACGTCAAGTCTTATCCTTATTTTTTGCTATTTCTCTAAAAAATGGTTCTGTTACATGAAAGGCTGCATAATCTCTCAAGTTTAATAATTTCCAATAAACAGTGAATAAGTCTTGGTGTTAAGATTATGAATTGTTAAATCCCTCCAAGGGGATAAAAAATATAAAAGTCAGTGTTGTGCTCCTCTGAGTGTTACTGCAGGAGGTTTTGATTTGTTCCATTTCACCAGCATCACATTAAATTATAGAATCCCATGTTTTGATTAAAAAGTAATTACAAATAATGTCAATAATGCTTAATAAGAAAGTAGCAACAACACATGCAAGGATTTCTGTGAGTAAAAATCAATATGTGTGAATGTTTTAGGGGCTACCTGACTTCATGGACTGTATCGTAGCAACATAAGCACTCTTTGAAATACTAGCTTTAATTAAGGAGGATAATGGATTTAAATTTCTAATGCATCAAGCCTCAAATATGGCAACCCTACCCGGGAGTCAGTAAATGTCTGATATTGCTTCAGGCTGCAGGACACTTTGGGAAATCTTCTCCAAGTGTGAGTTAATGAAAACAGATAAGCCTCTGAAATGCTAATGTTGACTTTTGGTGCCTAAATCTGGCAGCTGCTCATGGGACTCCCTGCTTTAAAATGCACCAGGATGTTTGTTAAAGAGGCTTCTCATCCAAGAGCAAAGGCAATGTTTACATTACCTTCATGCTTTCCCTGCCTCATTCATGGACAAATTGATTTGCAGGAACCAACAAGGTGCACTATTGAGATCATTTGCATAAAGAAATAAAGACAGCTTTAAATTTCTGTGAGGAAGAGTCTCTGCTCCCTAATCTATATCTTTATACTTAACAAAGATACCATCTGCATTGCCTGTCAGTCATTAGAACAGCATGCCAGGCATGTGACCATTAACAAACTCAATGGCGTTTGGAGGACGAACACCTTCTCCCAACCACTGTAGGCTGAATCCAAGCTTCTTATTTCATCTTTCTAAGTTGATTTCTCTTTAAAATCCCACCAGTTCTAATTCCAGTGACTTTTTTTCTAACCGGTGTGTTCTGATGGTGACTGTAGTTTTCAGCATCAATTACTTGTAATAGATAACTTCAGATATAAGAACTTCTGAAGATACGTATACATCATATTTTGTGGTATTTGCTGACTTTACTTAAAAGTAAATTGCAAAACTGTGAATAAAAATTTGGTGCTTTGAAAAGACAAAAATACAAATGTTTGGTCATAATGACAATTGGAATGTTTTTGGAGTGTTAGGAATCCAGTTTCTGTGGGTTGTGCTTTTGTTTCTCTTCCCTCCAACACCAGGCGGCGCCTGGTTCTCGTTGGCCTTCTCACATACCTGCGGATGGTTACCTCATTACCGGAGGACTCTTAAGCTGCTGACTGCCACTACCTTGACATCAGAGTGTTTGCCAGTTTTGGGTACTCAAGCCAAGATGAGTTTGCTGAGTCAAACTGAGTTTTTGTCTACCTGAGTTTTAACCTTGCTGTTTTTGTCTTTGCCTCTGGATGTTTTGGACCTTCTCCCCCCTGGAAGGATTCTCTGAGCATCAAACTGAGCTGAGGATTCAAGCTAGTGTTTTGGATCTACTTTTTCCCAAGGATTGTTTGGGCGTCTCTCTGAGCAGGGGATTCATCTCCACAAGAAACCGTTCAAGTACCACAGGAAAACCAAGTGGCAGTCAGCTCCTCCGTTCCTCAAGGTAAAACCTCAACCTGGGTAAACTCTGTCCGCCCTCCAACGAGCAAGTCACTCACTGGAACAACCCATACCAACTGGATTCAACAAGAGACACCTTTTTCTGGAAACGTGAGTCCTGTTGCCTTAATTCCCCTATTCATATCGAAGACACAAATTTCCGACTGAGCCTGAACTAACCGCAGAATCTCCCCCTTCACTTTTCAGTCCCGATTCGACAGTGTTTAGAGCAGCACTGGACTCCTCTCTACCTACTCTTAATAAAACCTGCTAAACTTTTCCCTGGTCTCTTTGTTTGGTCTTCTGCATGTGGGTCAGAGCTTTAGATAAAATCATGACATGGAGATTGAATGTTAACTCTTGATGCGGCAGTATACAAGTAGGGACTGGCGCACTTCAAACAATAGATGGCATCACAAGGAATTCCAAAAAAAGTTTAAAAAAACAATCCAGTGGATTTTGTTTCCAAGTTTGAAGACGTTTTTGCTTCCCATCTAGGAAGCCTTTTCAATTCAAATTGTCAGAAATAACGTTAAGTTCACGGCTTTATAGAGTGGACTAAAGCAAAGCCTTGTTTTGGCTTAGAAACA